GGACAGGGACACCTGAAGACTAGCACAGGGACACCTGAAGAGTAGCACAGGGACACCTGAAGACTAGCACAGGGACACCTGAAGGCTAGCACAGGGCCACCTGAAGACTGGGACAGGGACACCTGAAGACTAGCACAGGGACACCTGAAGACTAGCACAGGGACACCTGAGGACTGGGACAGGGACGCCTGAAGACTGGCACAGGGATGTCCTCACAAGCAACGGCAAGCGCCTGATTCCCAAGGACCACACATCAGGTGTGGGCAGGTGGTCCACTTCTGTGGCCCATCCCACCCAGGACTTCTAGGCAGGTACCACACGGCAGGAACTGAGGCCAGGGCAGAATACAGGGCTGGCTGGAAGCCCGGCTGCCAAGGAGAAGTGGGTGGCCACAAATCCACATGGCCCCCAGGGCCTGAGCCCCTCCCTGCATTCAGCAAGTGGGGGTGCACCTAAGCCTCCATATCGCCCTCACTGGCAGCCTGGTGGGAAAGAGGTGGACTGCCCAACACAGGAGAGCCACCCACAGATGTCCAGGTGCAGCTGTCTTCCTAGATGAATCCACTAGCTCCTCCAAGGATGTGGAAAGAAGAAAGGTGTCCACTGCCTCAGGCCCTGACCAGGACTCTCACTGAGAATCTGGCCTGTGTGCAGGGACCACACGGCCAGGAGATGCAGGCTGCAAGGGAGGCTCAGCCTCAAAAGCTCTGCAGGAAGAGACAGGTGGGCTGGGCGGGTTCCCAGAGCAAGACCATGCCTAAGGCAGGAGGGGAGAGCAGAGGACAGTGTAGGGAGAGGACAGCACAGGGAGGGGACTGCACAGGGAGGGAACAATGCAGGGGTGGCATGGGTGTGGGGGAATAACACAGAAAGGGGATAGTGCAGTGGTGACAGGGGCATGTGGGAGGGGACAGCAGAGAGGGGACAGTGCAGGGGTGACAGGTATGTGGGGAGGGGACCGTGCAGGAGTGATGGGTTTGGGGGAGGGAGGGATTTGCAGCTTGGCAAGAGGGAAGGCAGGGCTTGGGGCACCGGTGGCCAGCACACAGGGGCCTCCCTCAGGGCTCCCTTCAACCCCTGGTCAAAGCCTTGGAGCTGCTTCCACCCTCCTTCCCATGTGACATGGCTACAAGGGCTTCGTGGGTCCCCAGAGCGGCAGCCCACCCTGGGGTATGGAGACTACAGGCAGAGGCCACCCTGGGTCCACCTGGAGGCCCCTCTGGAGACCCTGTGGTGCCTAGTCTCCTCTCCCAGGACAGGCGTGGAAGGAGGGGACAGGGCCTCAGGTCAGAAGTGGGGGTGTCTCTCCAGGAACATGGACCAGCTGGCTCCTGCTTCACGAAGCTGCCCAGGCCATGGAGCAGAGGTCTCCCGGGCACAGGCACCAGGCCCCACCTACTCCCCTCTGCAGGAACTGGGAGCCTGGCCATGGGGGGCTGACACCTCCCAGGGGCCAGTCCTACCCCAGGAGGATGCTTCCCTGCCCGTTCAAAGCTCTGCACTGCCCTAGATCTTGTAAGAACTGCCCTGGCACAGCCTCCCAGGCCTGACCCCATCCTCCTACAGTGACAGGAGGCCTCCAAACCCGCCATTCCTGCTCCCCAGGATCCTGGAAGCAGCAGCCAGCAGGGTTCAGCCCTCTGGCTGGGCCAGCACCTCTGTGCTGTGACCTGTCCTGCTGGCAAAATGCCAGTCACTACCACAGTAGGCCAGGGCTGGCACCAGCACTATTGCTTCATGTCCTTGCCCCTGGGTAGCTGCTGCTGCTGGTGACCTGTGCCAGCTCACCCCCGAGGAACCACCTGATGCATGAAGGAGAAGGTGAGGTGGGGCCTCGTTACTTGTCACCACTGTGTCCCCTGGTGGAGTGAATGTTCTCCCTAACAAGCTCCACGTCCATCAGTCCATCTGAATGTGACCTGGGTGGAAAATAGGACCTTTGTATCACATAAGATGAGGTCACCTGATGGCCCCCATCCAACCAGTGTCACTCTCCACGGAAGGGGAGAGGCTATGTTTCAGGGAAGCAGCCCGGGGACACCTGTGGCTGCAAAGCCAGGGAGAGCCTCCCAAGGGAATGTAGCCCTGCCCACCCCCCACACTGAGAATGAGCCCCCAGCCTTGTGGGGACTTACTATGGAGTCACAGAAACTCTCATGCTCTGAATCATGGGCCACCAAGCCTCCACAGGGCAGCCCTGAGTGTGTGGAGACTGGTGTGGGCTCAGGCATCTGGGGGAAGATGGGGTCAAAGACCAAGGCTTGGAAGGGCAGGGGCAGGTGCTGAGGTGGGTGCGCCAGCCGGCAAGGAGCGGTAACAAGTTGCCAAACGGCACTCTCAGACGCGAGCGGCCCTGGTGACGTCAGAGCCTAGTCTCCTTCTCTGGAACAGATACAGTCTCAACCCAAGAAGGGTCAGGCCGCAAAGCTCAGTCTTCAGAAAGCAAAACAAGAGGCAGAGAAGACCAGATGTTCACACTTGGCCCCAGGCATCTGTGGCAAGAAGGCCACCTCTGGTGTCTGCAGGTTCCCGTGAAGTCTCGCTGACCATCCTGGGCTACGATGGCTTCAGCTGACGCGAAAACAGCATTAAACCGCACACCAAGGCATCTCTAAACATGGGAGTTTGTTTCTCATGAACATTTCTTTTAAAAAATATATATATAATAACTTAGTTTGCATTTTACAGCATTTCCAGGTCAGGGTGTCCTTGGCTGGGACCTGTGCCCCCGGCCTGCACTCCACAGCATGGCCGACCCCCAGGCTGGAGCATACACAGCCCCAGTAGCAGGACACAGGACAGGTAGCAGCACCCACAGTCACTCCATGCCAATTTCACAGGGGTTCAGCCCCCTCTCTTCTGCATCCCTATACGTCCTTCGGAAGTCACTGAAGCGTGGGGCACAGCCCAGCTGGGCCTCCCCGAAGTGCATGTGGCCAGTAAAGAGGAAGTCCCCATGCCCTGGCCGCACACCACACTCCAGCAGCGTCAGGATGCGGCCCTGCCAGTGGCCATGGCCCTCAGGCGCTGGCTGAAAGACCCTGCTCTTCTGCCGATAGAGCCTGCTCACCCGCAGATGGATGACTGACTCCTGCCGCTCTGGCACGTGGGTGACGTCCTGGATGGAGCCTCGGACGACTGTGGGGGAAGGAGACACAGGTCAGCGGGTCCAGTAGCACTGTAGCTGAGGACAAGCACATAGCAGGCGCTACCCCACACATGCCCCTGACTGTGATGGGCATCAGAACCAGAGCTATACCTGAACCCTGCCATTTAGAAATCCCTTAAAAAGCTCAAGTGTAGTGGTAGAAAGTTGCCAGGGGCTGTCCCTGATGCTGGCACTGTGAGACAAAGGTGCTCTTTCTGCTGCGGGCCTGACAAGCACACATACATGCTCTGTAAGGGGGCACATCAGGGCAGTGTGGGGGCTGTACCAGGGCCCCTGTCAGCCTGCCCAGCCCCAATCCTGGTCCTGGAGAGCAGGGCAGTGACATGATCAGAGCTCAGGGAGGGGGCCCGGGGACAGGGCCAGCTGGGCTGGCTTCACGTGCCTACCACCACAGCAGCTGGCCAGAAAGCACCACCCCGGGGACCCAGCCCCTGACACCACATGCAAGGGGCCTGCATCCCTCAGACTACAGCCCTGGGCCCTCCAGGGCCCAGGGGCCCCAGCTATCGGGGAACTTGGATGAAGAACAGATGGGGCTTGCAGGTGGTGGCCATCTCAGGGTCAGGCTGCCCATTGCATGGTATTCAGAGAACACTCAAGAGCCCCTGGGAACTGCAGGACTTCAGAGCCCCCAGGGAGCAGTGAGCTCAGGTACAGAACAGGACGATGATTGACAGTCACCCAGAATGTCCACCCCAGCTCTCAGTGTGGGTGTGCATGTGTGTACACGTGAGGGTGAAAGTATGCACACATGTGTGAAGCCTTCATGCTGTGGGCACAGAAGAGCACCTCTTCCACCACCCCTGGGGAAACCATATCCAGACGCTTCTGCAGACCCAAGAGGGAGCACTGCCCACAGGGGACCCATGCCAGAAGGACCAAGCATAAGAGACCTGAGAGGAGACACTCACCAAAGTCACTAGTGCAGACGGCCAGGAGCACTTCGGTGTCACTGCATGGGCGGCACGGGGCTGAGAGGAGAGAACAGATCAGCATACAGCCTGGCAGGCCCTGGCCCCTGCCCTCTGTGGTCAGAAATTCTGGTGAGCCACAAGCCCTCCCCAGCTCCAACATGTCAGAGGCAGATGCCCGGCTGCGCATGATGGCACACGTTGCCACCAGACTCACCTCGCCAGACATGTCAATCTTGTGTAGGACCAGGGCGTGTGCCAACTGCCATGTGCCTTGCTGGCACTGTTGTGCCAGAGGAGCAAGGACTTCATGGTGACCACTCTCATGCACCCACCACAAATGCAAAGCTGACCCAAGCCAAGCTGAGCCCCTGCCCCTGGGCATCCACTCCCACCCCAGCCTCCATAGCATACCCCAGACACCAGGGTGCCTCACGAGCAGGTACCTCCTTGCAGCATGGAGATACCCCTTCCCTAGACCAATCTCCAGCCACAGCCCAAAGGGCTGGGCCAGTCCCACAGGACCCAGATGCTGACCAGAAAGACTGACGAGGCCCAGGATCTACAAAGGTGACGAGTGAGGCAGGGCAGGAGGCAGCACCTGTGCAGGCACAAGGCCTGGGGTGGGGGCCATCAGCTCATCCCCTTCACCAGACCCCACCTGGTCCCTGGGACAAAGGTGCAAACACCTTTTAAACTGAGCCAAGCCCACAGGACCCCCATGGCCCCAGAATCCTGGGGCCTCGCTCCCTCCAAGAACCTAGAGGCTCCTCAGGCTCAGCCTCCCTGGCCAAACAACTTACGCAACACACTTCCAGGGTGGCCTGCACCCTGCCCTTTGCCCCAGTTCCCCAAACGTCAAACAGAAACTCGGGGCCGGCCCCAGCAATCCTGGGCGTCCACACACACACTCCAGTGTGGAGGTGTGAGACCTCAGCGGGAGGATTCCCCTCCACCAGTCTGCACTATGAGGCTGGGGACCCCTCGGCCCTGGGGAAGCTCAGGTCCATGCACACCTGGTACCACCCTGTCCACCCGGAGCTGAGCCAGGCTGAGCCACCACCTGACTAGAGGCTGCACCGACCCCCTCCAGCCAGTGTCTCCCAGGGATGGGCAGCAAACGTCAGCTCTTGACGACTGGCCAAGCGCTCTCAGGCCACCAAGAGTGCAGAGGCGCCTTCTGGAACCAGAGGTACCTGGAGCCTTGGAGTCACTCACGCCATCAGATGGGAGGCAAGGCTGGTGGGCATGGAGAGGGTGAGTCTGAAGCACTGGCCTCCCTGCCCTGTGCCAATAGCATGGGCTGGGGGCCTCCAAGGCTCGGCAGCCACTAACTCCCCAGCCCACCCATCACCTGTAGCACTTTTGCTTCTACTGAGTTATCAGGAAAAGCAGAACCACAAACAAGAACCACCTGCTGGTGCCTCCCCCCTGCCCAGCCCTTCATAGGATGGGCATCTTCCCACCACACCCCGAACTCCAGAGCCTTCTGCTGGAGCTCCAGAACCCCTCAGATGTCCACCCCATTCCCAGCCAGCCGAGGGCACCTGTGACATTCCCTCGGCCCTCACTGCTGCCCCCTGGGGCTCAGCCCAGGCAGCCCCTGACAAACACCTTGTGCTGCAGAGGAGCTGATGGGCCCTGGCCACACAGGGACACAGGACCTCAGACCTGTGCCTTCAGTGTCACCAAGTCTACACACATCCCTCTGCCCATGAGTCACACACCTGTGACCTCCACCAACAGCTAGGGGAAAAGCCTGGAGACCCTCCCCTCACTGGAGCTGCCCTGGCTCACACCCAGCCTCCAGCAGCAGGGGTAGGGACCCCAAGGGCAGTCATTGTCCCCAGACCCACCCAGAGCCATGGTTGGCTGAGGTCACAAACCCCACCCTGGAAGCATCTACTTCTCACTCTGAGCTTGGCAGAGTGCAGTTCAACTTCATGGAAAATACAGTGTGGACTCTGAGGACAGAGATCTGGAAACAGCTATCAGTCAGAATCGGGCTCAGGAAGGCCCTGAAAGGTACTCATGGGCCCAGCACAAGCTTCTGAGAGAACGTGGGTGTGGATGCTTTGGAGATGTTCAGGAGTACATCAAATGAACCAGAGGAGGAGGGAACAGCATCAGGCAGGACAGGGACACCTGGGGAGCAGGGTGGGTCCAGCAGGCCGGCAGGTGCTGTGGGGGACAGCCCAGGGTGAGGGCAGGAGCAGCTGGCTCAGGGGAGAGTCCTGGACAAGTGGAGCTGGCGGCCAGCAGGCAGGACTGCTCCCCAGGACAGCTGCCGAGCGTGCACAGGTCCAGACGGAGCCCTCAGGAGAAAACACGGGGGATCAAGGACAGCCGATGACAGTGAGCATGGCCTTCGACCAAGTGAACAAGGTGTGCCCAGGGTGTGGACAGGGTATGGGGAGGACCCGGAGGACTGAGGCTGAGGTTGAGATCAGCCAGCACCTCTAGGACACAAGGAGGACCCTGGGTGGAGGCCTCACCTGTCCCTCCAGCTTGAGTCCCTCCTTCCCCTCTCTTCCTGGTGAAGAAGCAGGTGGGGGCCATGCCCTGCCCCCAGGCCAGGAACCAGTTAAGATGAAAAGTGACCTCAGGGTCATCAGTGGCCCGAGGAAGCCACTGAGGCCAGAGAGATGGGAGCTTCAGAAAAAAATGAGCCATCTCTTCTGCTTCCAGGAAGCAGTGAGCTGTCTTTTCCACCTCCAGACTTTGCTGGCCATGCACACACCCATCAGGCACCCCCAGACTCTAAAGCTCCTGGGGAGCCTCAGGCAAGTCAGGCTGGTGACTCAGGCTTAGCCAGCAGGACAGGCTTTCACGGGGGTGGGAAGCTGACCCGAAGGCTCTAGGCCTAACCCCTGAACCGCCTGGGCAGTGACTTCCACACCCAAGACCAGCTTCAGTGTCCTGCACCTCCTCCCTGGACACCTGCCCTGGGCCTCTCCAGAGCCCCAACTCCCAGAGCACAGGCTGGTGGAGCCTGCCAGCACCGGATATGTCACCTGGCGATCTGTTACCTTGAGATCCATCAATTCGAGATGTCACCCGCTGCACCTATTCCTTGGAACCAGATGGCACCCCAACCCTCACCAGCCAACCCCTCGGCCCCATCCAGAGTGCTGTCTGTTTCCCCAGGCAGCTGGGCCCTGGAGGGCAGCCCCAGACCGCTCCTGCCCATCCCTTGGCCTGGAGGTATACTGGAAAACAGCCCTGTGGCCATCGACACCTCTGTACCCTGTCCGATTCCCCGTGTCAGAGGCGGTGCTGCTGCTCAAGCTCTGGCAAACCCCACGAAGGTGGAGGGCACGGGGTGAGCAGGTGCTGGGACTGGGTTCACCTGCTGCCTGACCCTGTCCTCCACCCCTGGAGGAGTGTCCCCCAGGGCTAGAGTCATCTGCTGCCCAACCCCAGTTCTATATCCTTGGAGGAATGTCCCCTGGAGCAAGCATCATCCAATACCTCACCCCCATACTACATCCCTGGAGGAGTGTGCCCCAGGGCTGAGGTCATCCACTGCCTGATCCCCATTCTATACCCCTGGAGGAGTGTGTCCCAGGGCTGAGGTCATCCGCTGCCTGATCTCTGTCCTGCACTCCTGGAGGAGTGTGCCCCAGGGCTGAGGTCATCCACTGCCTGATCTCTGTCCTGTACCCCTGGAGGAGTGTGCCCCAGGGCTGAGGTCATCCACTGCCTGATCTCTGTCCTGTACCCCTGGAGGAGTGTGCCCCAGGGCTGAGGTCATCCTCTGCCTGATCCCCATCCTATACCCCTGGAGGAGTGTGCCCCAGGGCTGAGGTCATCCGCTGCCTGATCTCTGTCCTGCACCCCTGGAGGAGTGTGCCCCAGGGCTGAGGTCATCCACTGCCTGACCTCTGTCCTGCACCCCTGGAGGAGTGTGCCCCAGGGCTGAGGTCATCCACTGCCTGACCCCCTTTTTGTAACCCTGGAGGAGTGTGCCCCAGGGC